GTACTAATGCAAATAAATTTGCACTGCAACCAAACACAGCCTTATTTTTTGTTTTGTGTGGTACCTAACATGGATGAAGGCGACACTCAATCCCAAGCCTCGGCTACAACCAGCCAGAGACTTTACCAGTAGACTTGCTGGCAGTTTCACCCTCTTGGGGTATTTGATATCATGGCTTTGCATTCCTATTGTTTTAGACTCAGTTTGTTTGCAATGCGAATGACATTTGCATAGGTGTAAATGCATGGGAGTGCGAGTAGATTTAGTTTTGCTTTAGATTTGATTTTTATTTATTTGTAAGAAGTAAAATGAAGTTGTCCCCATTTTATATGAAAGAGAATAGAGGTAGGTTGAGTATTATTTGTTTAGGAATGAGGTAGGAAGCAAGATGATGTGATTCTCACTTTATATGAAAAAGAATAGAGGTGGGTTGAGCATTATTTGTTTATGAGTGAGATAGGTCATAGGAGGCAATATGATGTGGTTCCTACTTTATATGAGAGAGAAATAGGAATAAGGTGGTGCAAAAATTTGCATCAGTTTTTGAAATGCAAATATTACAAAAAGTATAAATTTTATTTCAGACAATGATGCAAATCACGACTATAAGCAAACAAATGCAAAACTGAACCAAGTCAAAATTTGCATTAGTTCAAAATTGCACTATAAACAAACAGAGCCTAAAGTCTAATTAGGAACAGCACACCAATTAGGAATAATCATTCATTGCCCAGCCCAAAACCCCAGACCGGCCCAACATGCAACTAGAGCCCAGAAGCCCGGTCTACTAGTAAACGATCACCCCTAACACCACGACACATCACCAACGCTTCATGTTTGTTTTAGTAGTGATTCCAGTATCCACTTGTGTTAACTAGGGCTGTCAAGCCCAAAGTTCAAAACCTGATCCAAACAACCAATTTACTGAATGGTCTGTTTACATAATCAGATTGGTTGGATTTAGACTTAACCCTGTCCAAGCTGACTAAGATGGGAGTCTAATCAGATTTGATAAGGATGCTTTTGTCTATATAATATGCAAGAAGATGCCAAAAGGGAAAAATAAACTTTTAACAAGTTAGGGGAGTGGTGGATAAACAATTTATGCTGCATTTGGCATTCGTTATTTTAAGAATTTATCTCTTTTTGTAATTAAAAATTCAGTATTCATAGCAACAGGGGGGGGGGTCTTAGTATTTTAATAAAACAATGATAAATGAATAATTAAATTATCCTTAAATAAATGTATTGTCCACCTACATGTTGAGCAGGAAAAGCATTGTTGAGTGGCATGTTTGGTCTGCTTGGAACTAGTAAGTTGCAATTATGAGTTGGATTGTCCCTTTCTCCACCACGAAAAAGCATATAAGTTCAATACATCAAATAAGGGCTAACCCATGCTTATATATTGCTTTTGTTTGTCATCAAGCCATCCAAAGCAAATTTCTCTTTCCTTCTGACAGCTAACAAGTAGAATTGCAAAAGGAGCACACCAAATTTTAGCTTTTGCGTGGGTTGGGCTTGTAATGGGCCTGCCCCTTCTTGGGTTGAGGCCTCAATTAACTAACTTGACCACTTGAGATCAGGAGCCCAGCCTTTTGCAATATATACTTACCAACTACCTTATCTATGTATGTATATTGTATGTTTATGTTATGTATATTGACATATTTTATATTTACACAATTATAAAATGCCAAAAGTTAGGTCTATATCCAGTCTATCCCTCTTAAGACCCTAGATAACCAGAACCAACATTGAGCAATAGGCTTTGCAAAGATCGAAATTCTCACTAGGGTTGTTTTGGTACCATTGCTGTTTATACCTAAAATATTTTGGATTGATCAATACAATTTGGTAGAAGATGTGTATGTCACGTCACATATAAGGGTCATTTCAACTAGAATAGCTTCCCATTTACAACATCATATGAAACTAACGATGATGCCTTGCGATTGATTTCCATGACTTATATGAATTGCCTATAATTTCAAGTTTTTTTAGGGCAAATTTCTTAAACTATGCTTACTGTAGCTAATTGATAAGCTGTAACCTCACTGTTTAACTATTGTCTTAAACTACCCCTATCGTTTCTGACAATTGACTAACTCTACACCTGTCACTATCAAAATCCATACACATGTGAAACCATGTGAAGTATAATTTTTTTAAAACCCAATGCTACCCTTCATTCCACTTCTATAAGTATTTGATATTTCCAATGCCAGAGCTTCAAAGGACTCATAAGAATGGCGACCGACAGTAGGGGTGCAAGTCGGGCGGGTTGGGCTAGGTTTATGGTCAACCTGGGCCTGACCCTAACATTTGGGCTTAAGGCCCGAGCCTAGATTGAGCCTGAGATCAAGCCCGATTTTCCCAAACCAAGCCCAATCCGCATTGTAATTTGATGCACTTGGGTTGGGTTCGAGTCTGGGCCAAGCTAGGGTTGGCCAATGAACCCACTCTAAAATTATAGACACACATACAAACATACATACATACATACATACATACATACATACATACATATATATATATATATATATATATATATATATATATATAGATAGATAGATAGATAGATAGATAGATATATAGATAGATAGATAGAATAGATAGATAGATAGATAGATAGATAGATAGATAGATAGAGATAGAGAGAGAGAGAGAGAGAGAGAGAGAGAGATGATGATGTGGAGTGGTTTGACCCGTTTGACCTTGACAGTTAAACTGGTAACCAGTGACCCGAAGGCAAAAGTAGGTTGATTTTTAAAACATTATTTATCATACTTATTATTGTTTAGTATGTCAAATATATGAGGTTAAAAATGTTCCCAATTTTTTTAATTTCTATTTTTTTGCATTTTATATATTTTTGAATTTTACTATTTAATTGTGGCAACTTGGATTGACCCATTTGACCCAAAATGGTTTAACTTCTTTCCACTACCTAGATGAAAACACTATTTTTTCCAGGTAGATTTTAAAAGTTTTAAGTTTTATGTTATTGAAATTATTAATTTATTATGTATGGATTTAATTATAGAATTTAATGATGAAATAAACAAAAATGCCTTAAATATATGATTCAATGAAGGTGTGGATGCAAATTAATACCTTAAATATTGGATTTAATGAGATAGAATTGAATGTATTGAATATCTTAAAATTACATTTTTTCATCTCATTTAATACCAATATTAGATTACCCTATTTGCCCTCATTTTTATCAATAAATTTAAATATAAAGGGATTAATTTTGTCTTAAAAAATTTTCAGATATATTCTTGAGGTTATTGATACTTTTAATTTGTCATAAAAAAATTCCATAAATATTATTGAAGTTATTGATACTTTTTAACGTAGAGAAAAAAAAAACTAATAAAAATATTAAAGTGGACAACACCAAAGGATCCACTAAGATAAAATAAACTTTGATGCTTTAATGAAAGAAGTCAAACGAGAGAGGGGGAGTGGGTGTTAGATAATTGCTCACAAGGATATACTACCACCATCTGTCCATCTCATGGAGAATCAGAACCCTCATGATAGACATGTGAAACGTAGTGTGATACTGTCAAATAGATAACATTCATTTCACACATTCACGTATAAGGGAACCGTTGAGTGGATTTATTAACAGAAGTACACATCAGAGAAACGAATCAACTTGTATAGGATGGACGGAGTGTATTAAAGGGAATAAATTATCGAGGATGAGCTTCCTCAGACCAAGTCTGTAGAACACCTCTTTTTTTGCCAAAAGCAAAAGAAATGTGTGAAGGGATTTAAGCTGGTGGGAGGAATATATGGACGACCACTCATGGATACACCCCTTACATGCAAAATAGGGCCCATTTTCTAGCTTTAAAAATTAACACAGCCTGTGTAAGCCTGCGTTTGTGCTGTTGTGCATATCAGACTTGGTTTGTTTACAAAGTAGGGGTGCCACTTGTGTGGGTTCGGGTTGGGATTTTGTCAAAATTTAAAATGGCCCATCCCAAAGGCCTGAATCGATTTTCTGCCCGCAAATTCTCTATCCACTCTCTATCCCCCTTGAATTGCAGCCACACATACCATCTTGTATTGTAAGATGTGCGGCTGCAGTGTACTGTGGGTAAGGCGTGGATAGAAAAAGTAAATAGGAAATCTAGGTTCAGCGTAAAATGCTAACTCGGGCCAACCCAAGTTGCACCTCTATTACAAAGCAATTTCATTTGCATTGGTGCAAAAGTATAAAAATGCAAATGGAGTAAATCAAAGTGAAACAAAACCTGAACCAAAATTAACACTCTTTTTATTGGCACTCCTATACATCTGTACTAGTGTAAATGTGAATTTATACTGCCAACCAATAGAGCCTAGAGGGTAATCATTCCCTTGGTTTATTGCTTTTGCTTTATAAGGGAAGGATATGGGTTAGATCATAATTGGGAGAGTTTCCTTCATTCCATTCTCAATACATTCCATCATTTTAAACCAAGATTTTGTGTTATAGTGGTGCCTAAAATATAGCCCGGGCCGGCACGAAAGCTAGAATATGCTGCTGGGTTAGCCCAATTCCCCGATTCAGGTTTCGTCCATGAATAGCCAAGCCAGTGAGGCCCAAAACATCACCAGTTCACCACTCATTTAAGGGTGTGGGATAATTTGCACCAAGTCAACACCTTGATTTGGCGGGTGATTCAGATCTGGAGAAGGAAGAGTTTCCACTGTGATAGAAAAGCACTGCTTCGGGCTTGGGGATATGTTTTCTTAGGGACAGGGTTGCAACTTGGATCGGGTTAGGTTGGGATTGTGGCACCTTTAATAAATGGGCCTTAGATCCCAACCCTAGACCACCCAAATTGCATCCATGGCCTTGGTATTTGGGCCAGAATAGTCCGTAAGCCAATTAAAATATACAGTCCATCCTCAACCATCACATTCTGACATTCATACCAATCTCTCTCTCTCTCATATCACACACATACACACACGCACACTATTGGCCCACCAGCTTAACATGGAAAAGCTAGTCAACTCCAGAAACTTGTTTTGTCCCCCTGTTCTTTTCTGGTGCAGAAATACTGAATTTTGCATACATGAAATTCGGAGCCTCATGACATTCATTGACCATTGAAAAACAAAAGGTATACATCTTAGTAAGATAAAAGTCCAAGTGCCAATTCTTGTGTGATATTCCATTTGGAAGCACATGGAAGATTCCTTTGAAAAGATCAAGATTACTGGCTATGCCTCTTGAATGACAGTTTCAAATAAGTGTACTGCAGCAAGGCCAGCTAGGTCAAAGGTCGCATTGGTGGTATTCTCCCGTTTCCCATGTGGACTTGAGTGAGATGTACCTCCTGAGGGAGTAGATGATACTTGATTCCAAGGTTCTCAAAAATCTTCTTCAATTCAAAAACAAGTTCTGATCTGCGGTTATTCCTTTCACCAAAGTTCTGATAGTTCATGGTGTGCATCACACACACAGACATCTTCATCTTGTTCACATTCTCAATCTCCTTCACTATCACCGAGTGTTTTGGGCTCCAATACTTTGGCTTGCTCTCTATGTATCTGCATTCATAGGAAAGGTTCTCTCTTAGAAATTCTAGTAAATTAGTCAGAGAGTAGTGCATAGTAAAAAACAAACAAAAAGTGCTTTTCTCAGACAATCATGTTTTGATTTCTAAAGGGTTCACATTATGCAATTCTATTTAAAAAAAAAACTGGTTAGCTGCAAATGATTTTATTTAATGGTGGACCAATAATGTGTGCAACCCACTACAATCCTGTAAGTCTGTATCTAGTAAGAACTGTCATGTCATGCATCCCTCCTCTTGGGCAATCAACTAAAGCCACAAAAAGAAAACATCAATCAGTTACCTTTCAATTTGAGTGTGAAATCTAGATGGGTTTCTTTTTAATGGTTTGGTGAAGTTTTGGGCCATGACCAATCCAACAGGCTTAAACAGAATGGAATGGCGAAACAGGATTTGTGTAGCTGACCCCATAGCTTTTAGTAGGACATTGAACTTAAAGATCCAAACCAGAGAAATATTTGATAGGTGCTGCTTACACTTGTATGGCCTTCTTAAGAGCAGATACATTCTCAACAGACGTGGAGACATCAATGGTGAACTCGACAGTGTCTGCCATGTCTGGACTCCTGTAGAAATTGCTAATCGGCTTTGTGAGAAGGAGAGAGTTGGGGTAGTAAATCTTCTCCATGTCGTATCTGAGGAAGACTGTTGTTAAAATATTCATTTCTTCCACAATCATCTACAAAATGGGGAAAACAAAAACATCCACAATTCTTAAGTATTAGGCCATTATCTTCAAGAAATCACTAATTATATACCATTTAATTGGTGGGTCATTCTTGGAAGGAATAGATTGAAAATCAGGCATTAGAAATGTATAACACATATCCTTTTCTCTTCTTTATATTCAAGGAATGCCTAACCAATTGAAACTCTTACCTGAACACCATCAATTACACAACGATCGCCCACGTCGAAGGGGTGCATAACAAAAACAAAGATAATTGACTCAAACATAGTCTTGCAGGTATTCTGGAACATGAAACCCACAAGTAGAAGCTGGGATGTGACTACAAATATGACTTTCGTTGTAGCCAGTCCCATCACCAATAGGGACTCCACAATTATGATCACAATTACGACTGCACTTGCTAGCTTGTGAAGCTGCTGCACTGCTGTCTTTGTATCGTTCAGTGAATGTGCCAGAGCCTTCCGCTCAATGTAAGCTCGTACCTGGATATATATAAATAGTGGAACTCAATTGCTTAGTTAAGATTTTTATGTTAAAAATTGATAATTCGAACTAATCTGAGTCCTTAAGTTCTGTTAACAGCTGTTATTTTTCCTATCTATAGTACTGCAGGAGTACTATTGTACTTTTACTCTTTTTTATTTTAGTTGCTGTCGCTCTGGTATATATATTAAAAAAGCTGGCACCGCCAGCAGTATCTTTTGCTCTCAGTTCTCTCTTCTCTCTTCTTCCATTCTTCTCTCCTACATAACATGGTATCAGAACGGGACTATCAGATCTGAAAGGAGAAGTCGAGTGAACAGTTTTTTTTCTTCTTCGCACCAGATTTCCAGATCTGCTGCCCTCATCTGCTGTTTGGCTGATTGAAGATCTCACACACTGAAGTAACTTCTCTCTTTCTCTCTCTCTCTTACCTTTTTTTTCTGGTCGTGTGCTAGGGAAGAACCTGTACTAGGTCTGCCGGTCGGATGTGAGGTGATCAACACCTCTTTCTTTCCTTTCTTGTGGGGTCAACTGATCCCTGTGAAACTGTAGGTCATAAGGACCTTTTGTGTGCTGCAACAACAGCTTTTATGGTGAACTGAGGGTCAGAAAGTGAACAGTACCTCTTGTGTGCTGCAACAACAGCTTTTATGGTGAATTGAAGATCAAAAAGTGACCAGTACTTGCTGTAACAACAGTCCTGTTGATCCGTAGGTCAAGAGATGACCTGTATGCACTGTGGCAACACTTGTGTTGAGCTTGTAAGTCAAGGGATCACTTTTTAGTGCTGTAACAACACCTGTGTTTTTACGAAAGAAGGTGTTATATATATATATATATATATATTTTCCGTTCCCCCTCAGTGTTGAATTTCTTTAAGGCTGTGTACCCCATTTAAGAGTTGTTTTTGAATATGAAATCATGAGTGGCGAAGATTCTGCTACATCCGGTATTTCCTCAATGCCGAATGGAATGAGTGGGGGTGTGGACTTATCCTTTCCCATGGCTATTATTCCTCTTGATGGTTTAAATTATTTAGAGTGGTCAAGAGGGATCAAGCTGTACATCACTACAAGGGGAAATATAGGCTATATTAATGGGAGAATCAAAGAACCACATTCTAGGAGTGCTGAATATGACAAATGGAACCAGGAAAACAACATGGTCATGTCTTGGCTTTTAGTTTTTATGCAACCTCAAATAAGAAGGAATTTCATGTGGGCTGAAACGGCAAATGGGATATGGAACAAGCAAAATCAACCTATTTGGAATTACGACACTATGCAAAAATCTACCAGCTACAGGCATAATCATCTACTTGTAAACAGGGGGAGATGTGTCTATCTGTGTACTACTCAGACTTGACCTCTGTCTGGAAGGAGTTAGATCATTTTTTTTATCAATGAATATTTAGATTAATTAAATCAAAGTCAAAGATAGTACAACTTAGGGAGAGGCATGAGGTGCTACCTCCCCTTTAAAGAGGGGAGATGGAATAAACCATCAACCCTTTAGATAAAGAACATAACAAAGGAAAAAGAAAATTACAATGAAGCCCAATACAATGAAATCCGAGTAGCCCCTTGTTTAGCAAGATAATTAACCAAGGCATTAGCCGATCTACCCAGCCACTGAACTCTAACTGTCATACCCCTCAATAGCCATTTAACCTTTTTTAAAATATCCTTAAAGTTCCAAGTGACAATACTTGGGTCAGCCAACCATCCTATTACCACCTTGGAGTCTCCTTCAATTATTAAGTTTTGCACTCTGAGTTGATAGGCAATCTGTACCCCCTGTGCCGCAGCTAGAGTTCAGCCCTCACAGAGTCCCCTATTCCCACCGGTCCCGAAAAAAGGCAATAATGTTGCTTTTCTCATCTCTCACAGCACCAACCCCAAACAGTCTTGAGTTACCCTGACTACTTCCGTTAAAGTTCAACTTAATAAAACCCTCCATCGGCGGAGTCCAAGTTACTTGGACTCTAGGCTTCATGGAGGAAGTGAGGGCAATTGCAGACCAGTTCCTCATTAAATCCTCAAAGGAATAATCTTCAAAGAGCTTTAAGGATTTCAGCCACAAAATAGTCCTTGTAACAATACACTCTTTGACCACAATAATGCTTCTTTCCTTCTCCTGAAAAATTCTAGAATTTCTCTCTTCCCAAATAGTCCAAAGGAGAGCTGCTCTTATACACTTCAACATGACTCTCCCTTTTCTTGTGGTCCACACAAAGGTAGAAGGGGAAAACAACAGATTTACCTCAATTGGCAAGTTCCACCTACACTCCAACAAATCAAATACCCAATTCCAAATGGCTGCAGCAAAAGGACAAGAAATCAATAAGTGGTAACAATCCTCATTCTGCGCTTTGCACAAAATACACCAGTTAGGAGATAAACACAAAAAAGGTCTTTTCTTCTACAGGTTATCCATCGTATTGATTTTACCCAAGTAAACTTCCCAACAAAATACAATAATTTTTGGGGGAATAGGCCTAGACCAAACTTCCTTAACTGGGAAAGCCTGAGGAGAAGAAATGGAGCAGAGAGAATTAAAGAAAGAAATACAAGTAAACAGCCCCTTCAGAGTCAAAGTCCAAATCCTCCTATCAGGATTTAGTGGGTCCAGGCAAGCAGAATCAAGTAACAAAAGGAGCTCAGAAACTAATAAGGATTCCTCATTCCTCAACCCTCTATGGAATCCAAGGTCCCAATTTGTCGACAAAGGGGTATACGGGGGCAAAAAAAAGGAAGACACAGGTTATTTTTTATAAAGGGAAATAGAGAAGAGAGAAGGGAATAGATCCTTAAGGGGCAAATTTCCCACCCAAGTGTCTTCCCAGAAAAGAATATGAGTCCCAGAGCAAGCATCATATCTTACAAAGCGTAGGAACTGTGGGAGGATGCCATGAATTGCCTTCCAAGGTGTTGCAAGAGTTGTCCGTTTGGATACCCTTGCATCCCAACCATTTCCGGAATAGCCATGGATACTTGCCACCACTTCATGCCATAACCTCTCCCTATCTAAAGGCCACCTCCACAACCACTTACCTAGAAGGGCTATATTCTTGAAAGTGATACTCCCTATTCCTAATCCTTCGACTAACTATCTCCCATCTAACCAAATGATCATTCTTCTCTTGCCTCGGCTCTCACAAGAAGTCCCTCATCATTTTCTCTAACCTCTTAGCTTCCCTAGCAGAAATCTTAAAGACAGACAAAAAGTAGATCGATAGATTAGCAAGTGTGGATTTGATCAAAGTCACTCTACCTCCACAGAGATATAATTCTTTTTTCCAGCTTGCCAACTTTTTACCAAACTTTTCCACAACAGGGATCCAAAAGCGGCTTCCCTTTGGGTTACCTCCTAGGGAAAGGCCTAGATAAGTTAAGGGCCAGGAAGAGGTGGAGCACTCTAAACAACCTGCAATAGCCTCTATTTCTTAAGGTTCCCAACCTTCCTCAAATCGCTTCCTTCACAAAAGATTATAGTATCATTTGCAAACTGAAGGTGAGTTACATGCATGCTATTTCTTCCTATTCTCCAACCACTCACAACCTCCTCACTGTCTGCTTTTGATATCAATCTACTTAACACATTAGCAACAAGAGTGAATAAAAAGGGGGAGAGTGGATCACCTTGTCTTAGGCCTCTACAAGCTGGGAAGAAATCCTTAACTACTCCATTGACAAGGATAGAATAATGGCAAGAAGTGAGACAACCCTTGATCCACTTACACCATCTTTCCCCAAATCTACACTTAGCACCTCTAAGTGTGGTAGCTAGATCCAGTGCTGAAGTTGAATATCGAACAATGGCTCATGGAGTGGCTGAAATTATGTGGATAAAGAATCTGTTGAGTGAGTTGGGTTTTCCAGTGGACAGACCTATGACCCTATTCTGTGATAACAAAGCACTCATAAACATTGCTACTAACCCTGTGCTACATGATAGAACTAAACACATCGAAGTCGACAAGCATTTTATCAGAGAGAAGGTTATCACAGGGGAAGTGTGTACTCCCTATGTCAGCTCTGAGGATCAACTTGTAGACATCTTTACAAAAAGACTACACCACTCACGACATCATGATTTATGTGACAAGTTGGGCATGATTGACATCTATGTCCCAACTTGAGGAGGAGTGTTAACAGCTGTTATTTTTCCTATGTATAGTACCACAGGGGTACTATTGTACTTTTACTCTTTTTTATTTTAGTTGTTGTCGCCCTAGTATATATATTAAAAAAGCTGGCGCCGCCAGCAATATCTTTTGCTCTCAGTTCTCTCTTCTCTCTCTCTCTCTTTTCTCTCTTCTTCCATTCTTCTCTCCTGCATAACAAGTTCTAATTCTTATAGCTTCCTGCTATGACCAATCCATCATTATGGAACCCAGCCAGCAACCCACACCACCTGAATGGGCCAAAAATAGTAATATTGATACAGATAAATTGAAACTGACAATTAGATGGAAGGTCTACTTTTCTTGGCCATAAATCACAAGTTTCTCATCGACCCCAAGTATGGAAATTCCATCAATCTTATGGTCGAGAAGGCTTAATCAATATGAATTTGGTGGCCAAAATGCTCCCCACTGATTAATTGTTCAAAGTGATGCCCAGTATGGCACAGAAATAGTGGCAATGAATCAATTTTTCATCATTTTCACTGCTAACGTGAAAATTAGGCATACCTCTAAGTAGTAACTTTTATTATTATAGATAAGGACATCTTTTATACTGACAAAAAAGTATATCTTTTTTCATTTGCACTGGTAATTTGCTTTTTTTTTTGGCAAAAAATGGATCTACCTGAAATCAATTTCTTGAACCTAATTGAGCATAAAAGACACTAATTTCTGGTTATGGGTAAAATGAGCATCGTAAAGAAGAGGATGTTGTGATGGACGATTAAGAAGAATAAAAAGGATAGAATGATATTAATGCATTTATGAGAATTTAGGAGTAGCTTTAAGAGCTGATAAAATGAAGTACATTAAGATGGTTTGCGCAACATAGAAGAACACTTTTTGTACTAGTTAGGAGTTATCTGAAGGTCAAAAGGACAAGCCTAACAGATTAGAAGATCACTCTCTGCACCAAAGAAACCAAAAATAAACCTGGCACCCTGAACACATCTACATGGGGAGAAAAAGGTTTAACACATGAACCAATGTCAAAGCACAGGAGTTGTAAAACATACCATGAAAGCAAAAATCAAGACCCTTGATCCATGTCAGGTTATGTTCCTTAGGATTTACATATTCAAATAACGTGATGTTTTCTTATTAAACTGAAGCCTATGAAACATGTAGTGATCCAATGGAGTACAAAGAAAAATTAGTGTGTGCCCATGAACCAAATTGTGACTTGGGTGACCAGGGTTCAAATCTTCAAAACAGTCTCTCTGTTTATTTGCAGGGGTAAGGCTGCGAACATCAGTCCCTCCCCAAACCCTGCATTGGCAGGAGCCTCATACAAGGTTTTGCACTCTACGCATTTGTATTTATGACATTTCCAAACTGAGCCTAATTTTCAAATGATTCTGAGAGGAGGAGGAGGAGGCTCCAAGACCTTAATTCCTATAATGCTCCTCATATTATAATCAAGGCTCACAATTGGAACCTGGAATTTTCCCAACCTAAAAGATTACTACTCCAAAAACCAGAACAATCATATCTATAAAATTCAGCAAGACCCTTTCAATGCCAGGTCCAAATTGTTGGGCCTCGAGGGGGTCACAGACCATGAAGAGTTGCCAAAACTGGGAGCTTCGTACACATACACGCAGGTAAGACTTGTACACAAGAGATGGACACCACTTACAACCCAAAAGCCTAAGTTATTGAATTATGGGCCACTCTTGTATATATTCATATTTCCTATGAATATAGGAAATATGCAAGTTCTAGGTGGCAGCCTTACACCTTAAGGCTGTGTTTGACAGAAAATAAGAGAGAAATAGAAGTTCTTAATGGATTTTACTCTCAGTAAAAGTGGACTTTGAGTTGTAACAACGGTTTTCAAACTGTTGGAACAATTTTTAAAACACTGGTACCATGGCTGTTTCTTTTCTTTTCTTTTTGGAGGTAGTTGCTAAACCTGATGGCCTCAGATTACTGTTACTTGGAACAGCCTCTCTGTGTGTGCAGGGGTAAGGCTGCGTACATTGGTGGGAGCCTCATGCACTGAGCTGCCCTTTTGTTGTTATTTAATAATTGATATGATATGGCAGAAAAGAGAGTTGTATAGCTTACCACCCAGTTTCTGAAGGTAGACTTTCTAATCTGTCCAGTCTCGAGGGCTCCTTCAAAAAGAGGGAATATGGTATGAATTTCTTCTCTCGTTAGAAATCTCATAAGATCCCCCTCTTCAATATACCTGCAATAACAATATATAAAATTGCATTTTTGGTAAGTATACGAAAGAAAAATGCAAATTTAGTCCAGTTAGGATATGGATACTGTGTACACCAAGTCCATTTTCTGTGTCTGCATCTACAATTAGGTGTGGAACTTCTGGCCAATGGGCTGGTCTTGGCCAAGGTATTGTGTGTGTCTAGTCTGACCATGATTTAAGAGAGAAAAAAAAGGAGTAAATACTAAACACTAATGCTGAAAATTAATCTTTAACACATCTGAATTACTATGAATTAAAAAATTGGTTTTCAACACTTAAACATAATTAGTGAAGAACAAAAACTCATAAAGGTTCTAATTGGTCTAAGCTAAACGGTCCAACTAGCTGACCCAGTCACAATCTGATGAAATGACCAAATTCACCGCCAACATCATAGAATATTCTAATGAACAAGAGTTCAAAACAATGACAATATAATATAATAATAAAAATAAACAAACCACAGAGCACAGATTTTGAATGTGACCCTCCCACCTTCTGGCCCCAAGACCCGATACCTAAATAAGAAAATAACATAGAACGCTTAGATGAGGATGAGAGAGACCCTTTTGAGTTGAAAGCTTTAGCTGTTCAACGTGCTGTGTAACCAATCATAAGTTTCAACCTCAGTATTAAATATATGGGGCTGCATTTTTTATAATGGAGCCCATGAATTTATTACTGACATAGAATCTCATCATTGATTTTACGAGTCCGGATGTAAGTAGGCATATTAGGTAAGCACAATGAGTGAACATGTAATAATTGTGTGACACATGTCTCGGTTAATATGCTTTTCGTCCAAACGTTTTTGCTCTATTAGACAGAAATTATTCATTATTTTATTATCTTTATCAAAATAATTAAAAATAAAAAACAACGAAAAAAGAAAACGTAAATGAGTCCCAACTCGCAACATGTTTAGGTTTTCCTTTTTCATTGTTTTTATTTTTAATTATTTTGACAAAGATAACAAAATAATGGATAATTTCTGTCTAACAGAGCAAAAACATTTGGATGAGAGGCACATTAACTGGGACATGTGTCACATAGATATTATGTGCTCACTCATTGTGCATACCTAACGTGCCTATTACATCCAGACCCTAATTCTACAGCCCGCTGAACCTAATCCCAATTCCTTTTGGGCTTAATATGTTTGCCCACACCAATACTTAACTCAATACCATGCCAATGCTGAACACCCTCGTCTCTCATGTTGCTGTATTATTTGTTTGGCATTGATGCCGTTGTTCTAGAAAACGGTGACACATCAGTGCCACATTGGAAAAATCGGTGCTCCAGAAAATGGTAACATGTTTAGAACCGTTTTTCCTTAAAAAATGGTGTCCCAAACCACGCCTTGGAAATCAAGAAGGTGTGATATGGGAAAATGCCGAATTGATGTTTTATCAATTTGGAACTCGTTGCTGCCAATGGGGACATGATGTGGCAGTGATGTGGACTTCCTATAATGGGTACTAGTGCTGAAAACAGATATGGAGCACTGGTATCAAACAGAAGGTGTTGTTGTTGCCCCAAGAAATGTCCTTGGCAGCAACGTTTCCAAACAAAATAAAACACCGTTTTCTTAGAAAGTGGTGCTTCCAACCCACACAACATCGATGCCAAACACATACTTAATGACAACAAATCACCAATTCCTTATTGGCATTCATATGTGAGCACATGCTTCCTTGCTGATCACGTCATAAGTGATTACTTTTGTATATCTCTAACTCTCAAATTATATATTTGGCATCGATGTTGCAGCATGTGTGGATTGGAAGCACCGTATTCTGAGAATGGTGTATTTTTTTTTTTTGTTTGAAAACATTACTGTCAGGTAGGACGTTTCCTAGAGCAACAACAACACCTTCTATTTGATACCAATGCTCCATATCTGTTTTCAGCACTGGTACCCATTATAGGAAGTCCACATCACTGCCACATCATGTCCTCGTTGACAGCAACGAGCTCCAATATGAGAAAACGTTGAATTCGGCATGGCTCCAAACTATACCTTCTCGATTTCTAAGACATATCTTAGAGCACCGTTTTTATGGAAAAAACAGTTCCAAACATATTAACCTTTCCTGGAGCAAGATTTTTCCAACGTGACACCACATCAGTCTCACCATTTTCTGGAGCAACGGCATCATGTCAAACAGACGCTTTCATGTACCCTAAAATCCTCAGGAGGGTATTTCTGTCATTTCAACTGGCACTTGATTCACGTGTTGAGAAAGTTCTTTCTTCCGACTACACGAGGGCCTTTCAGGCTCAGAGCCTCAGTGGCCTCTCTGTTGAAACTTCTAGAGATAGAGAGAGAAGATACACTCAGACACAAGTATCAGGTATGGGTCGATGCATATACTCTCGGCTATCAGGTGTAACTTTTGTTCAGCCACCTGCTTTAAACAAACATTGCTTAATAGGCTTGAATGATGGGTCCCACCTGATAAAACCAAAAGCCACTGCTAAAAGCCCTTTCAAACGCCGAAAGCCACTGGAAAGCCCACTCCAACACCAATACAGCGACGGAGACGGAGATGATCCAATGTTCTGGTTCGACCATCGGTAATAGGCACACTTAGAAGATTCCACATAGCATAGCCAAGTGAGCACCCTGACCATCTGGTCAGGTCACCGTCTCGCCAAGCGTAATGCCTCTCGAGGCACCCTATCGAATCCCCCACTGACCCAGAACTAAAATACATGACCGAACAAGAAATCGAGTTCATGATCCAAATTAAATAACATCTGGACCGTTCAACCCAAATAATAATCACCAAACCACTCACTGGCCCGGCCCACCCAAACTGAACCATCGGTCAACCATCGGCAAGATGGCAACACCGGAACTCCGGAGAGAAAACCAAGAACTCGGAACTGGTAACACGAAACTCCATGGTGCGCACACCTGGTGATACTAGGAAACCGAGACGACCACGAGAGGAGAGACCAGATTCGGAAGTCAGTCAACACTATGGAGGCATGGACCACTACCCATTCGTTCAGAACTGAGGCAAATTCGTATATTTGTCTGGTAAACTAAAACCACCGCCACCGGCAACCTGCGGTAGGCACCCGATTCCGAAGACGCGCTGCGCACAGTTTCAAAGTGGCGCAAAGTAACAAAAAATGATTAAAAGAGCACAGGAGGATGATAATTGACACTTGAGAGTACTACTTACTTAGCTCCTGGTTTAGCGACGTTCTTGAAGACGCGCTGCGCACAGTTCCGAGCCTCCCACTCGCTGGTGATCTCCGACTCGGCGTTGGCGAAGTCGTCGACGGTCCTCGAAATCGTTGACAGACCCGTCGACCGAATGAAGTTCACCAGCCTCTTTATGCTCCAAGGCGAGGTTGTGCTCTCCATGCTTAGCTTCCTCAGCCTCTCCATATCAATCTTCCCCGATCCTAACTTCTTCGACTTGGACATCCTCTTCGCATCCCTTAACCTCGCCGGCAACGACTTGGACGGTTTCAGATTCCGGGCATGCGGCGACTCCCTCTCCACCTCGTCCAGTGGCGGTCCCGAAAGTGCCTCCAGTACGTAGTGGTGGAAGACGCTCTCTTTCATGCGATCGAAGAAGGTAGCCACATGAAATGACGACGCCAACATCTTGACAAGAATGATCTTGACGAGCCACATGATCGCGCCTAYGAGTACCGCGAGGAGAGCTCGGGAAACCTTCTTGAGGGTCTTTTTGTCCGTGTGGACTTTTGGGTTTAAGTTGAACATGAGATTCCAAGACAACAGCACCAGGCCTAACCAGACGCAGTTCTGGACACTCTTACGGAGGCCGTAGACGAAGTAGAGGACCTTCTCTCTAAGCATGAAGTTGCGCTCGATGATAAAAACGATAACACTCACTAACCATCCGGAGACGAGACGGCCGCAGAAGATGACCATGACCGTCAAGCACCATTCCCAAATCTGGAGACCCCAGATCGATTGATTCTTGAGGCGTTTCGAAGTGAGGGAGGTGACCACACAGGCAATGATGATAAAAAACGAACCCCATTCGATTATAGCTCTGCAACTGATTTTCTTCTTTTTCTTCTTCTTGTACTCATCGGGCGCCTCTTCTTCGTTCTCGTCCTTCCCGAAATCGTCTTCGTCGTCGCTGTCGTCAGTGGTTGATGGGGAGTTCTCGTGGAGGTTCAGGGGTTCGAGCAGTTCTGTTTCGGGGGTGGATTTGGGCGCAAATGGATAGTTGTTTTCGACGAAACGAGATTTGGGTTTGGAGAAGTTGAGGCGACGGAGCGGCCGTGTTGTTGTTGGGTTGTTATTATTACAGATGGGCTTTTCTTTTCCGGGGATAGCTTCGTCGTTAAGTGCTGTTTGGAGAGACTGTTTGGGTTTTGCAGTTTGCTGGTCCATGAGGAGAACCACCTGGTCTCTGGCGGGCTTTTCTTTCTCTGGATTCTGCATCTCTCTGGAACCTAGATTCCTGCTCAGTGAGAGAGAGAACCAGAGAACAGCTGGTTTTCGATCTCCCGATTCGGATCAGTTTATTTATGCATCAGATATTCAAAAAAATAAAATAAAATAAAATGATGAAAGAGAAATATGAAAGCTGGAAAGGAATGGGTCTCGAAAGAAACACAAAAGCTTTATGCATCGATATTCTGCATCTCTCTGTTGATGCCATGTTTTTTCCTTCTTACATTTCAAACGATGGTGTTCCTATTCATTGGGTCACATGCGATCGCAGAAGATGCAAACTGTCTCTAGGGTAGGAACGAACCGGTTAAACACTAACCCGTCCCCACCTGTTCGGGCCGATCACAGATTGTACGAAATGAACCAAGGTCCGTTTGGTTCGCACTTAGAATTGGACCCCAAAGGGGCCCCTATTCCCGCGAAACCAAACGGACCACAATATTGTGAGACCCAGATCATGGTTCGACCATTTGCAATCAAGCTGTGACTGCTGTCCCAAAATGGTTAAGCCGTTCAGGTGAATAGCTTGGTTCCATCTCCTCAAAAAAAGCTGGTCCCACACACAGTCGTTCACTTGTGACTTGTTTCTGTCAAAGATATAGAAGAAAAACTCAAAAAAGAAAAAACAGAAGTGAGTGATTTGGCCCATTTGGGCACACCCATAGACCATAGTACATGTATTAAGACAGATGTATGCTTTCTTAAATAGTGTATTTTTTGTCTATAAAAATGGGTACTATGAGCAAAAATGTTTAGGAGAATATTTTCCTTTTCCACGTGACTAACTCTCCTTTTAAAAAAGATTCAAATATTTTTAATTTCTAATAAAAATTAAGTGTACTGATGTAGATTTCAATGCTAAAAAACGAAGGTTGTAAAGTGAATGGACCCCATGTTGAGTCAACTCGAGAACTAATTTTTATTCTATTTTCTTTTTATTTTCAAGTGAAACATGCATTAATTAAAATAATAATAACAGTACAAAAGAGAATAGAGAAAACTAATAAAACCATAAAATAACAGAGGCACCTGGGTTCATCTTTGGCCCAAACCAGCCAAATCCGACCCAGTAGCCATCTCCAACCAGAAATAGGGGGAGACCCACCCACCACTCTCCACAAGACAAAAAAGCCTTTCCGTGCAATCAAATGAGCAGCCCTTATTAGCAATGTTTGTTAACCAAAGAGAAAGCCCAGTGTCTTTTGGAGATCGGCTTCAAAATATATTGGAGATTCCATTGACAGTCGTTCTCAAAATCACAAAGGTACCCTCTTTTCCATATTTCTTTTATATTATTTAAAACACCTCTCCACTTTTCTACTTTCTCTTAAATTTACCCTGACTTTTTGATACCTCCACAGACCTTCCTATTAAACATTTTTCAATTAGATTAGATTATAATGATACCCCATCTTAATTTTCAACTTGATCCTTTGAACCAAAAAAAAAACTGGTTGTAGGCAAATCAAAATATTGGTGGGTTGTAAGGGGTTTTACTATGATATTGGAAAGACATGATATCAGAAAAATTTGTGATCAATCAATCAGTATCATAAACGTGTCAACCAATCAGATGAAACTTATCAAAATTTATGGGTGAACTTTGATTGGTTGAAATTCTTCCAGTACCATATCTTTATCGCATAAAAAGTTTGTCTAAATCACACTGGAGGTGTAGTAGCTTGATTTTGATTATGACATCAGAAAGAAATGATATCCAAAAAATTTGTAACCAATCAACCAATATCATAAATGCATCAACCAATCAGGTGGAATTTATCAAAATTCATGGATGGGTTTTGATTGGTCAAAACTCTTCTGATACCATATCTTTACTGCATCATAAATTTGTCTAATTAAGTCACACTGGATAGGTGCAGTAGCTAGATTGGGTTGAGGTCTACTCTCATCCAACCCATGTTATTGAACCCCCGACCCTAATGATCGGCTTGGGTTTAGGTTGGTCTGGTTATTTACTTAATTTTGTTAAATGTTTTTATTTCCTTAGGCTTGGAATTAATAGACAAAGGTCCATTGATTTCAACAATTTTATATTTGCAAAAACAAAGTTATGATGCTCAGTTTAATATTCATATCACATTAGATTTTTTTTTTTGCTTCAAACTTAATGCATACATACATGCGTCCATATTTTATATAACATTTACAAATACAAATATGAAACCATATAAAATTTGGTTTGGGTCAAGTTGGACAAGACTTCAACCCAACTGTTTTGGGTTGGTTTGGGCTAACCCAGCCTAAGTTGCACTCTAAAATTTAAATTTTATAGCATAGTAAATAGTAAAATGAGAGAAGAATACTGTCTTTTACCTAACAAATTAAAACATTAAATCCACAAACAGAGAAGAGAGGAATCCTTTCATAAACAACTCTAATTCAATCCACAAAATATCTAATCTAGCTAATACCATATGGCTTCTATAGCAACATTTAATTATATAATCATATGGATTATTGACCTAAATCAGAAGTTAAAAAAAAAATAACCCCATACCATTATTTTGTATGTTATCATACATAGGAGATATAAAGTTCCCAATAAACAGCATAAGGCTGTCAGCATGTTACATACATACTTTTGTTGGCATCAGATCGGGCCTGATGAATGGAAATTTATGTCAGATTTGAAGTTGAGGACCTATTTAAGTTCTTTCAGTTCATGATTATCTTCTGATCGTCCTCTCCATGATTTATGACATTATTGTCTTCTATTTCTTTCTTTCTTCCACCTTTTATCTTTTTTCTTTCTTTTATCGTTTTCTGATCTTACTTTAAGTTAGGCTTTTAATTTGCATCCACCATGATCTGATGATTGTACATCTTATGGAAGTGCAGTAATACATAAAGAATGAAAATGACAATTTTGTGGTTAGAAAAGAGGGCCTTCATCCAAAATAGACAAGATAAGGACGATTATAAACCACCATATTTTCTATTTGTCACAATATATCTATCTATACTATTGTAAAAGGGAATATTTGCCTTGGTTTTGGTGTGTGTAGTAATAAAAGTTTAATTTTGATTTTACACATGTGTATATAATAACACATGTTCTTATACTAGTTAGCCATATAAATTTTGCCTTGATTTTTAATGCAAGTCATAAAAATTAAATCCAAATACAATATATCATATATATGATTAATACTCATTTGCTTATGTGCACATACACTTTGGCCTAGAGAATCGATCTAAGAATTCAAAGCAATTATGATATTAGCGGCTCAAAAGTTGTGGCTACATACTTAGCTTGATTTGCTGATCACTTGTTGCTTTGGAAACAATGCAAATAAGTGTGGATGCAAATATGTAGAGTGTAAAACCATCCATATAAATTGTAAAGTTGAGTTAGTTTTGCACCGACAAATTTGCCTTTTACCAAATAGATTTTTAGCTCTAATGGATGCAAACACAAATTCCAATAAAGTATATGTCTTTTTTTTATATCAGAAGTCCACTTGAATGCAAATTTACTTCTTTTTAATTGATGTACTTTTACATCTTATTATCATTAGAAAATGTGTTTTCTGTCGTTTGTCAATGCATAAATGTAGTGTTGCCAAACACAAGCAAAATCAGAAAAGTGAACTAAAGTGCAAATTTACCATGAACTAGGATTTACACTCCATTTGCATCATTTCCAAACGCAGCCTTATAGGTTGGCTTTCACTGGGAGAAAGGGTAAATAAATTTTAATTCAAAATAAAGATTTATTTAGAGCGACATAGGTCCTACCGCTTGGATCCCAACATATCTTCCCCCTAGTGACTACTAGAGGGTTGTAATCAGATTTGATTTGATTCAGACCTAGCCAAATCTGAATCCATTCCAAATCCAACCATATCTAGGGATCTTGGACCAAATTCACTTTATTATCTTTAAAATAAAGAAAAGTTAATTAATAAAAAGGAAAGAAATATTGGATTTATTAGTTATAAATTTTAGTATTTAAGATGAAAATAAGATTATTTGATTTGGGTTTTTAACTTTTAGGTGGCAACCCAATATTTAAAAACAAGGAACTCTTGAGTAAGTTTGAAATATAATAAGAGACAAGCTTCCCTGTCATTGTTAACATAGAAGAAAAAAAAAGCTGAAAACCATTTTTCTAAATTCTTTGAGAAGGTATTGTATAGTCAACATATCTTAAGCTGCTTCCCCAATGATGAATGATCGATCTTGACATGACTCTTGAAGAATTATGCCTTTTAGGTTTCACTGAAAAAAGAAATTAAAACCACTACATAAAATTGTGGAATAAGAGACTTTGCCTCCTGCAAAACAAATAGAAAAAGTCCATAGATCTTCAAGACCAAACAAATGTTTTAAATCCTAAACATAATTAATGTAGTCTGTTTTAAACATTTTTAGGTGTTAATATTGTTTTCTATTAGGTTAACGAATAGGAGCTTATGCTTTCTTGTATTGGTTTCCTCCTTCAAAAAAAGTTGGTTAAATATGTAAGTTGGGAACCAGTTTCTGATTGGCCTTCTAATCTAAATTTACAATCAAAATATGATTAAGGTAGTGTCAATATCTTCGGTAATGCATGAATGGAGATTTGGGCATCTATCTCACACCTTTACATATTGTAGTTGGACAACACACACACAGCTAGGACTATTAGTTTTATGCATTAAGATAACAACTGATCTTGTTCTTTTGCAACGGATAAGAAGTTCTCAACTGAAGAACATGAGAGAAGAAAATTACTGTCTCAAGTTTTCCTCCTCCCAAAGATATAACTTGTATTTTGAATTCCATTATGTGATTTCATAATCATCATCATTATCATTATCTATGTTTGTGGATAAAAGGCATATATACTTTTTTTTTGGCTTCAAGGGCTACACAACCAGGTAGCCCATCCCCCAATCCACAACCCCCCCCTCCCCCCCAACCCAGGTGCAGGCGGTTGGCACCTTGTTACATCATGCATTCATCATATGAGTATGTTTCATATGTTTCTTTTTTCTTTACCTTTGAATATATTGTCAAAAAGCTTTTTATCATTTGTTTCTTTAGGTCTTCAACCACTGACCACTGAAATCTAATTTGGGTTAAATTTTTCAACACAAATTGGGAAAGGGTGTGATTTTATTTCCTAAATCTTTGTCAACTCACCAACCTTCTCAATGTCACATGGGTATGTTTCACATGTTTGGTTTTTTCTTAATATATATATGAAACATCAAATGCCCCTTCTCAAATTCTGAGCTTCTATTTATTACTTTTCTTGAGTCTATCCATTAATTTTTACACTCAAAATAAAGTGGTCATCTAGTCCACTTTCTTCGTCCAATTGTGGGGAATAAATATTCTCTTGCATTGAGAATGTGCCATGTGGATGAAAGCCACCATTATTTCCTTTCATGCAACTCTGGACAATCCTTTGCATGAGTGGCTTGTACTCACTTCTAGTCTCAACAATTTTGTCTAGAAAAGAGAGAGAGAGAGGAGTGATCGACCAGACTTGCTTGAGTTGAGTTGAGGTTCTTGACTGTTAAGTGGTGATTGTTTTTAGTTGATTGATGCTTGCTTTTCATCCGACAACATATAGTGGCCATGCTTATCATACATTGTTTTTATAAGCACAAGTATGACATATTGGGGTCCCAGAGTCCAGAGATGATTGTAAGGGATGATAGAAGCTGGTTCCTTTTAATAGACTTGGCAATGGTAAAACCACAGGCTGACAAGGGAAAGAACCAGCTTAATTTGAATCTACGTGTGGAAATAGTGAAGGGAGAAAGGAAAGGACTTGGGTGTGTGGGTAAACATTTATCTAGATCTGCTCTCCTTTGAGTTTATCTTTTTACATTATCACAGTCTGCAGATATAGATTTGTATATTCAGTTATAAATACCTTTGTATCTTCGGTTACATTCATTTATGTTGTGTTTGGTTTGAAAGAAAAGGTAGGGAAACCTGTACAAGCCTTGTACAGGTTCCCTATCTTTCCCTTCATTTCCTTACCTTTTCTTTCAAACCAAGCACAGGGTTAGATTGTGTTTGGGAAGAAGGCCTAAAATATATCTGCACAGCAGAGAGTTTCCCTACAGTCCTATTTTGTTTCCCAAATCCCAAGTTCCCTTTCTTAATGTCAAAAGAAGTTCCCTTCTCAATGAATTCTCATATTCTCATAACACTCCCATTCCCAGATAATAGTAATTATGTGTTTAGCTAATTTGCAGGAAGAATGCACGTCTCTCAGCTGCAACCTATTAATTTTTAGAGAACAAAAATACTCTCTCTCTCTCTCAACTTAGCACTTTCTTTTAATTTTTAGTTGGGCTTAGTCCAATAAAGAACAAACCTATCCCATTAGTAGTTCCTCAAATGGTCAGTGTATTTACTTAATATGTGGACATTAGCTCATCTTTGGACCCAAATTCATTTAAATGTGGGTAGGTATGAAAATATGAGTGACAGAATATTGGAACCGACACTTGTAAAAGGGTGTATATGGGATTTTGGTGTGTGTACCTTATACTAAATATAGTAGCTTATGTTAGTCTTATGCAAGTGAAAATATGTTTTTTTTTTTGTTTCTTTAAAGCATTTTCCCTGGTTTCACAAACAAAATTATTTTTTAAATAAGACTAAAAATGTTTTCAATTCTTAGAATCTGTTCTTATCTTTGTTTAGTTATGTGGCATATTCCAGAAACAAGAGAAACAAAAAAACATTCATGTTGGATAAAACACCCTTAGTTTTGTACATTGGAAATGACTAGGAAATTCTAGCCTAGCCGATCTGGATTGGTCCAGCTGCAACTCAGAAAGGCAATGTTGGGCATTGGAATTGTCCTGTTTACAGGATGGGTAGGACCTGGATTCTAGCTTTAGCTTGGCCCCACGTAAGCCTAAAGTAAATATCCCATTGGGTGACTGCTTTAGTGCTTTTGCTTTGTAGGGGGAAGGCCATGAGTTTGATCATTGATGGGAGAACTATGTCCTTCCCATGAATTAAATTTCATCATTCAAGGCCAAGTTATGTCTTCTGGCCCCATCAAATATCTAGCCTTTGCCTGCTCAAAGCTCTAACATGCTGGGTTAGGCCTAATGAAGTCAAATGACCTAACCTCACCTCTCATCACCTACAAAAGGACCCTTTGCCACATCAAAAAGTTCTAATAGCTCTATCTAGTTTCCAAGTCGACTCTAAAGCTTGATTGATCCTCCTGTTCATGATAAAGAAACAATGCTCTGGTGCAAACATACTGATTTCTCCATATTGAAAGGAATGGTAGGATTTATCGTATGGACGCCAAAATTATTGCGGAATGGGTGGGCGAATTTCAAAAATTTTTTACCTTCCTTCCAACTGGGAATCGTATTTCCTGATTTTAGAATCAAGATTCAAAGATCCTACTTGAACCAAACCAGACCAGATTTGAACCAAAAGAGAAGGGAGTGATTATACCTGATCCAAATAAGTAATATCTCCCAAAATTGGTGTTCACGCCCAAAGAAGACACCAAAATCAGCTCCCACTGAAGATGACACAGTGATGATGGAGCCGAACCAACAGTGTTCGTCCCACGAACCAGGTTCTTCTGAAGAACTCGATGGAAGACTGTGAGCACCACACGTACAATCAAGAACCTTTCTTGATTTTCTCAAACTGAGAACTTGAACTGGCAAAAAGGTGGCGGCTGCTGCTGGAGGAGAGTGCTAGAGAAGAAGATGGCGAACTACTATTTTCTTCTCTAGGGTTTCTGAGATCTAATCTTCAGAATGCAGGTGAGTTATCTGCGAAATCCCTTGAGTTCGAATTCTTGTAATTCGAAATTAGGGTTTTTCCTCCTCTTTCTTAATGATCAAGAAAGCCTCCTAATCATATCAGAAGTTGCCCTTATCCAAATCTGTATTTGGATTAGGACTCTTCTTAATATTATTTGCAGATTAGATTAGCTTTTGGGCTTAACTTAATCTCAGATCCGCCCCCTTAAGTGACTGATCAAATCAGCCCAGATCGAAATGGGCTTTAGGCCCACTATGTAATAAGTGCTCAATAGTCTTTCAAACTGCTGCCTAGTTGGACTTCTTTGTATGGCATGGGACCCAAGCGTTGATCTACACACCAACCATATGGGTTCGGCCCAGCCTCTGTTACAAGAACTAGCCGAATTCACTGGTAAGCCCAGTGAACCCCTTGAGCCCATCACATGGACCCTATGGGCCCAACACTTACACTAAGTGGTCCTTGGGCCAAACCATCTTATAAAAGGCCAGAGACTGTGAGCAGATGCAAGATTATCCCATCAAGTATTATCCTAAATGGCCTTATACTTAACCTCTCAGTCCATAACGATCAAGCACTGCCTGACAAGAGAGGACCTCTCCCTCGGCTGCAAGGAACAATGCTTTACTCTCTACTCACATGGATCCTAGGAATTAAAACCATTTGCAAACGTTTCGAAACCATATGTAAGTATATATCATATATATAGATTTTGCAAAACAAAATTCCAACGATTGAAATCAATTGCCGACAGTTTGGTTTCCATCAGAGAGAGTGCATCCCCGATCATTACCTTTGTCCGACAAAGGGGATGATCCCATCACTATGATCACCCACTCAGATGAATTCTCAGACTGTCCCAACATACCCAGGTTTTGACTCCCGCTAAGGATCTCACTGATTGGCATATCAAAGACAGCCCGATCCAAGGTCCAAAGCAATACTGAAAATCTGGTCCGGTTCAAGGGTTTAAGTAATCTTACACTGTGTGTGCCTTGGGTTTCACCCTAGCGGATAAGACGAGCCACCCCATCAGTTGGCAGCACACCAGTGTCAGCCTTTGCAGGATAAGTCTCCCCAAACTTATCCAACGGCTGTGAACATTTAAAACTAACACAAGTCTCATTAAGTGTCYAGTTTTAGGGTCTTACACAGAAACATACCACACAACATGAATCAAACATGTACTTTATTTATTTACATTAAATATCAAAAGTACATCAAAGTCGATTGAAGCTAAGGGCATACAAAAACTGTCCAACACATATACCACAATACAAAGCCTCGTGGTATTAACAATTGAAAATGGAACACATACATGTTTATAAGATAGAAGTCTAATTGCTAATTTGGATGATCTCTTCATTTGGAAAATCATGGCAGACTGGTTCAAAAAGATCAAGATTAATGCTATGTTTCTTGCTGGCATAACTGTACTCCACCATACTCCAGCAGGACCAGCTTTGTCAAGATTGCATCGGTGTTGTATTTCCCACCTGGACTTGGGTTAGATGGATCTCCTGAGGGAGTGGATGGTACTTAATTCCAAGGTTCTCAAAAATCTTCTTCAGTTCAAAAATAAGCTCCGATCTGCGATTATTTCGTTCGCCATAGTTCTGATGGTTCATGGTGTGTAACACACACAAAGACATCACCATCTTGTCCACATTCACAATCTCCTTTACTATCAATGAGTGTTTTGGGCTCCAATATATTGGCTTGCTCTCTATATATCTGCACTCATAAGAATGTTTCTCTTAGAAAATTCAGAAAATTAGTTAACAAGGAGTGCATAGGGAAAAAAAACAAGTAAACAGTGCTTATCCCTTACAATTACTTTTTTGGTGTTGAAAGGTTCACATACTATATCTACAAATGTGTCCAATTCACTACAATCCTGTTAAGTTCCATACTGTATTTACTAATAACTAGCATGCCAATCTCTTGGGTAATCCAATTAAAGAAATAAAAATAAAACACTAATCAGTTTTCCTTTCTATTTGAGTGAGAACACCATATGTGTTGCTTTTTAATGGTTTGGTGAAGTTTTTAGTCTGTGACCAATCCAATATTTTTGATTTTTTTAAACCCTTGTGAGCAAATTTCTGGTTAACAAATCTCATGAAGTAGCCAGATATATAGTCTGCTACACCATATATAGTTCACCGACCATCAATTGGGATTGTCTAATGGTGTTTCATGTTTTTGATAAGTCGCCATCCAAAAACTTACCAATCAAATGTTCCTTATGCATTTTTCCCAAAAATTAGGCCAATAACTATACAATCATCTTACAGTCCTACAGTTTTTAGCATTGAGACATGCACATTGGGCTAATTAATAGTATTTCGAAGCTGTAGATCCAAATGATTAGTGTAAATTTTGAGAGGCATTGCTTACGCTTGTATGGCCTTCTTAAGAGCATGTACATCCTCGACAGAAGTCGAGACATCAATGATGAAATCAATAGTGTCTGCCATGTCTGGACTCCTGTAGAAATTGCCAATTGGCTTTGTGAGCAGAACAGAGTTGGGGTAGTAAATTTTCTCCATGTCATACCGGAGAAAGACTGTGTTCAAAATATTCATTTCTTCCACAATCATCTGCAAAAAGGAGAAAACAATAACTTCCACAACTATTAAGGGAAAACAGAGAAAATATGTAAGAAATTATCCTACATGGATAAAGCATAAGTATCAGGCATTAAAGGAAATACTAATTATATATATCATGTACTTGGTAGGCCATTCTTGGTATGAATGAATACCTTAAAACTCAGGCACTAGAAATGTTCTAACACATACATATTATATCCCTTTTCCAATGCCTGACCATTTTCTCTTCTATATTCAAGGAATGCCTAACAAGATGGAAGTTTAGGTTTCAATAGTAGAATTAAGAATAAGAAATAAAAGCATTCCCTACATGAAGCTCTTACCTGAACACCGTCAATGACACAGCGGTCGCCCACATCGAAGGGGTGCATCACAAAGACAAAGATGATTGACTCAAACATAGTCTTGCAAGTGTTCTTAAATATGAAACCCACAAGAAGAAGCTGGGATGTGACTACAAAGATAACTTTTGTCGTAGCTAGTCCCATCACCAGTAGGGACTCCACAATTATGATAACAATTACTACTGCACTTGCTAGCTTGTGAAGCTGCTGCACTGCTGTCTTTGTATCATTCAGAGAATGTGCCAGAGCTTTCCGCTCAACGTAAGCTCGTACCTGGATGGTAAAACTTGGTAGCTAAATCGTTCTGTTAAGATTTCCATGTTTAACTTTAAAGATTCAAACCTATCCAAGTCCTTAAAATTCTCCATGTTTGTTAGATAATTTATTGCCGCATGTAGTGACCAACCCATCTTTGTGGAGAGCAGCCAGTGAGGCAGGCAGCCAACTTCCTGAATGGGCCAACCATAAGAAGATGATATAGATTAGATGACACTAACCTTTGGATGCAAGGTCCGCTTTTCTTTGCCATAGATCAGAAATCCCAGCCATCCAAGTATAAAAATTTCATCTATCTTGTGGTTGATATGGCTTAATCAATATGAATTTGGTGGCCAAAATGATCCCCACTGATTAGTTATTCAAAGTGATGCCTATAGAAGGGCTTAGAAAGCAGTATGAATGTATGTGTATACGAATTCAAACACAAACACAAACACACACACTTACCACCCAGTTTCTGAAAGCAGCCTTAGTAATTTGTCCAGTCTCAAGGGATCCTTCAAATAGAGGGAATATAGTATGAATCTCATTCCTCCTTAGAAACCTCATAAGATCCTCCTCTTCAATATACCTGCAATACCAATATATTAAATTGCAATTTTTCAGTAGAGTTATATAAAAATGCAAATTTAGTCCACTAAAGATACGGGTTCCACACACCAAGTCCATTTTGAGTTTACATCTACAATTTAGGTGTGGAATGTATACACACATGTGCACACTGTTCCAACCATGATTAAGAGGGATAAAAAGGGGGAAAACTGAACTCAAAATTAATCCAAATTGAATGGCTTAACTAAGATTCTAAGAAATCGAATTGTTTTTGAATGGTGAAAGAACAATTGTCACCATTTTCGTTGGAAAGAAGTATTTATTTATGACTAGAAGCATCCAATCAAGCAAGCTGATTTACCCCTACCAATGCTTATAATAGAAAACAATATTAAATTGCAGGGTTATTTTGGTCATAAAAAGTTGCAACAAAAAATCATCAAATCTTAGAATAGAACAAAACTGTGTATGGACCACTCTGCCACTACTCATTATGGTATCTACCCAAATCTAATTAGTGAAAAGGAGAAAAAGGTTCTAATGCCAAAAGGTTTCATCGAGTGGGTCAGCTAATTGAATCATTTAGCAAAAAAGGCTTAAATGACCAAGCACTTTCCTCTTTGCAAATTAGTTTGGGGCACAAAATGGTCCTATATGTTGGGCTTTTATTCATCCATCAAAAAAAATGTTGGGCTTTTATTCATTATTAATGTGCCAAATTTTGAGCCATAAAACTGTTGCAACGTTGTTGGATGGAAAAGAATAATAAAAGTTAAAGTATAGAGCTGATGTGGGTTAGTGGTCAATGCATAGCCCATAGGATCTTAGGGGTGCAACGTGTTTGTGTCTGGGCTCGTCCATTAAACGAATTTATCAAACAACGAACCCAGCCCGACCCCACGGCCCACGTAGCCCATGCTTCAGACAGAACCTTTAAACTTTTGTTGATAGCATGGGTGACGTGGTCTTGGTATCAACCGTGGCCACTCAGAATATTCAAACCATTGGATCGGAATCCCAGACAATGCAAAGTTGAAGATGGTGTTTATCTTTCAATTTAGGCTTCATTCATTATTATTATTATGTTTTTATAAATCATTTATCTGGATAAATACATTTAATTTATTAAGCAAATGTTTTTGAAAAAAAAAATATTTTACATTTATCAAAATTCTTTTATTTCCTTCATAAAATGATTATTAAAGCGACAATGTTGTCTATAATGTTTTAGTAATTTTCTCTACTGACATGAAGTTTTTTTATTCAACTCAGTAAAATTAAAATATTACTTGGGTAAATGAACAATTTAGGAATCACAGGATCCAATCAAAACTCCAAAGCTAAGCAGGGTTGGGATGAGAGTAGTAATAAGGATGAGTGATGTATTGGCAATTCCTCGTGTTACACCCCTAAAAAGACTTTGGAAAAAGTGAAAAACCCACCCACGTAACTAAACACCATTAGGCAAATTTCGTGCGATATTGGTTTGAAGGAAAAAGTAGGGAAAAGGTAAAAAAACATTACCTATAAAGCACTTGAATATTTTTTTAACACCTGTCTTTTAAAATACTTTCAACCCACTCTTAAAAATCTCCTGTACTGTTATTGTTATTGAGAGATATTCCCAATACAAAGTCGGGATGTGGTGGGGCATTGTGGGGGCGCCCCTTTTACTTACGTTGTCTCTAATAGATCCAGTCCCTCGCGCATGACATCCCAAGTGATTGAAATATCAAAAAAATCTAACCCACAAACCACAATCCAAATACATACATCTAGACGGTTCAACCCAAATAACAAACCGCAAGCACGGCCGGTGGTCCGGTCTACCCAAGCTGAACCATCGCTCTAGCATCGAGTCTCCGACAACACCGGCACTGGCGCCGGAGAAAAAGGACAGGGAACTCGGATTTCGGTCGGAAAGGAACTGGTAACATGACACTCAATGGGGGAACGCGATCTGCTCCTCACACAGCTCAATGGGCGCGCATTAGCATCGAAATAAACAAAGCGCACCTCCTTTGACTTTCTCATCCCAGGAGGAAACAGATGATGGACACTGCACACTCAACTAGGCGGAGACAATGCACACGATCGTCGGATAAACTAGCGCCACCGGCAATCTGCGGCAGGCACCTGATTCCGACGGATCAAAACTCGAAAGTCACTAAGGTAGCGAATACTAGCCAAAAAATAAAAATCATTAAAAAGTAGAAGAGGACAAATGCGCAACAGTAAGACGATAGTTCAGTTTTACTTACTTTGCTCCTGGTCTAGCGACGTTCTTGAAGACGCGCTTAGCACAGTTCCGAGCCTCCTGCTCGCTGGTGATCTCCGACCCGGCGTTGGCGAAGTCGTCGACGGTCCTCGAAATCGTTGACAGACGCGTCGACCGAATGAAGTTCACCAGCCTCTTTATGCTCCAAGGCGAGGTTGTGCTCTCCATGCTTAGCTTCCTCAGCCTCTCCATATCAATCTTCCCCGATCCTAACTTCTTCGACTTGGACATCCTCTTCGCATCCCTTAACCTCGCCGGCAACGACTTGGACGGTTTCAGATTCCGGGCATGCGGCGACTCCCTCTCCACCTCGTCCAGTGGCGGTCCCGAAAGTGCCTCCAGTACGTAGTGGTGGAAGACGCTCTCTTTCATGCGATCGAAGAAGGTAGCCACATGAAATGACGACGCCAACATCTTGACAAGAATGATCTTGACGAGCCACATGATCGCGCCTAYGAGTACCGCGAGGAGAGCTCGGGAAACCTTCTTGAGGGTCTTTTTGTCCGTGTGGACTTTTGGGTTTAAGTTGAACATGAGATTCCAAGACAACAGCACCAGGCCTAACCATACGCAGTTCTGGACACTTTTACGGAGGCCGTAGACGAAATAGAGGACCTTTTCTCTGAGCATGAAGTTGCGCTCGATGATGAAGACGATAATCCTCACTAACCAACCCGAGACGAGGCGGCCACAGAAGATGACCATGACGGTTAAGCACCATTCCCAAATATGAAGACCCCATACGGATTTATTCTTGAGGCGTTTCAAAGTGAGGGAGGTGATCACACAGGTAATTATGATAAAAAACGAACCCCACTCGATTATAGCTCTGCAACTGATTTTCTTCTTTTTCTTCTTCTTCTTGTATTCATCGGGCGCCTCTTCTTCGTTCTCGTCCTTCCCGAAATCGTCTTCGTCGTCGCTGTCGTCAGTGGTTGATGAGGAATTCTCATGGAGGTTCAGGGGTTCGAGCAGTTCTGTTTCCGGGGTGGATTTGGGAGCAAATGCATAGTTGTTTTCGACGAAGCGAGATTTGGGTTTGGAGAAGTTGAGGCGACGGAGTGGCCGTGTTGTTGTTGGGTTGTTATTATTACAGATGGGCTTTTCTTTTCCGGGGATAGCTTCGTCGTTAAGTTCTGTTTGGTGAGACTGTTTGGGTTTTGGAGTTTTCTGGTCTACGAGAAGAACTACTTGGTCTGTCGTGCACTTTTCTTTCTCTGAGTTCTGCATCTCTCTGCAACCTGGTCTCCTGCACAGCGACACAGAGAGAAGGGGGATCCGGGAATGGAGTGAACTAGACAACGAGAGAGCAACACAGCCAACTGGTTTTCCATACCGTACATCGGATCGGTTTATTTATCAATAATCAATGAAATGAAAAGTTAAAAAATACAAGGTAAAAGCTGTGAAGGGAAGCTTATCGAAACGAATTGGCATGTGCGACTGTAATTATAATGGCTTGTTGGGATAACGTTTCGGAGCGTTTGTTGGAACTTGGAAGTAGATCTGAATTCGAATTGGCATCTAAAATTTGTTTTTTATTCCGGTTCGAATAAGATATTGTCCGGCGGATTTATATCAAATTCGTATTGCAATTAGATATTGAAGATAATGAATATTATATATTATTAATCAAAATATTATGTACAACAATAAATTGTATGTACCTGAAGCTCTTTAATAAACATAAGCACGTATCAAACCATGGTTTTCAAAATCAGACCGGACCGGACCGAACGGTCGGACCGGAAAAACCGGGAATTGGTCAGATGACCGGTTCTATTTTTCCCAATAACTGGATTTCCCCTAAAACCATTGATTTTGTTCAGCGAACCGTTGAACTGGGTAGTTAATCGTTCGATTTGTTCGAACTGTTTTGACAATTTTTTATTTTTTTGAATTTTTTTATTTTTTTGTCACAATGGACTGTTCAACCCGATAACCGGACCCCTGATTGGTTCGGTCACCGGGTCGGTTTTAAAAACCATGTATCCAACAATCAAACTAGATACAATATAAATTTATGTATGATATATATTTAAATAGAAGGGCAAATTTTTTAGACTATCCTTATTGCTTAATTAATTGATTAATTCTACTTTTACTATTTAATTATTGTCTTAAACCATTCTTATTGTTTTTGATAATTGACTAGCTCTACCCTTGTCATTAGCTTCCATTAATGTTCTGTCAAAATTGGTATGCATGTAACACTATGTAATGTATAATTTTTTTTTAAAATCCGTTATTACCCTTTCTCTCTCTCTCTCTCCCTCTCTCTCACTCTTCCCTTCGACTTTCTTGTGAAGAGATGGAGCTATTGGCTTTAGATCATTGTCCGTGCTAGGAAGATTGTCGTGAATCAGAGAGAATCATGAAAATCCCTTGGGAACAATTTTTGGATTCATTCTTTGATGAGGGCGGATTTGGCCCTCTAATAACCTCAAGACACATGGCATCCCGAAACAGCTGGACAACACCCAGATGCCACCTAAGCAATGATTTGGATTCCTAGATTGTGGTTTGTCTTCTACTCGACTTGGCGACCTACCTTTACAGATGACTTAGCGACTTGCCTTTACCGCCGACTTGAAAACTTGCCTTTACTGCCGACCTGGCGACCTCGACACAACTTAGGTCGGCTTGCGGCACCTCGTCAAGGATTGACTTGTAGCACATCATCACTGGCCGAAGTGACCTCGACGTGAGGAGCGACCTCCCTCGAGGGCTTGCCGACCTGACTGAGGACCAAGCGGTGACCTGCGAGATGTGCTCGCCAACACAATCGGCATGCATATCCCGACACTCCTAGGTTTCTTAGAAGTTAACCCACATACCGGATATTCCAGAGGATGGTCAATGTGCATGGCAGTTACCTCCAAGGATCCCGGACTGGTTAGGCACGACCTCTCAGAAATCTCGGGTGCGGTGCGTGAGGCCCACACCAAACAATGCCTACATAAAGGCACCAACCCCAATGACCTAAGGTAGGTACAAGCGATTAGCTGCATTCTAGCTCTCATATTTCTCAATCTCTCAGCTCGTGTATTACTATTACTGACTTAAGCATCGGAGCAACCCCGTCGAGTTCTCTGATCCTCCTTTTCCTTGCAGTTCGAGTGACCTACTTGGAAACAGACGCTCGAGCTGCCCTACAACTAGGAGCATCCAGATCGCGCTTCATCATTCGAGAGACCCAATGGATGACCCTATTTCCAGAATTCAGGCGGCTAGTGAAATTCAACACCTCACCAAGACATCTCAGAGGTATTGACGATAGTTCTTGGGTGCAATTGAACCATTCGTTTCCATGCTAAGATCTGACTTGCGTCCATAACCCATGTTATCAACACTAGCATATGATCCAGTCATCCAACACTATACTTCTTCTCTTGGAAAGACAAGCTAAAGAATCCCTTTACAACATCCTCTACAGGCTGCGAAATGGATGAAGGGATGTCGTGGTTCGTGACTAGGAACAAACCCCATCACAGGCTCCTCTACCAAGCTTGGCTAGCTCTTGGGCCCAAATCTCCTCTTTGGAGCCTATCATCAGTAAGTTGGTCATGTTGATCAACGGTGGCTTTGCCGAGCTAGCAATAGTTGTAGGGAGTTCACAATATTAGTAAGCTCTCAGGCGCTGTTGAGCCCCTTACGAACTAATTCTTGGACCACATGCATCTTGGATGTTCGCACTTCGCAGTATTGGAGATGTCTTCTCCGGTGGCAGATATGAAGTTGACACTATAATGTGCAATCCTCTCTCTCTCTCTCTCTATTTACCCTTGTAGAGTTACACCGGTTAGATCTTTTTAAGAGTTTCCTGTCTGCTACTTCCATGGTGGAACTGTGAACGCATCACATTGTCTATTACAATCTCTAAATTCATTGAGTCGAGTCAAACTCCGAGGGCATCTAGTCATTTCTTGAGGAGTTGAAGACCCACTCAGGCCTACAAAATGAGTGTTTTCTATCCCATGCCATCATCCTTTAGGCTGTGTTTGGTTGCAATGCAAACACAAATATGTACACTACATATTTACCCATTTTTCGGTTCATGAATGTAAATACGGCTAACATTTTAAACTGTTTTTGCATTCATCTTGTTTGGTCACATTAAATGCTCCAACTATCTTATGCTCCAATGCCTTAACTTTGGTCAAAAAGTTAATTATCTAAAGAACACAAAATTGTATTAAAAAAATAGGTACAATAATGCTCTCTTTTTAGAGTACAAAAGTGTCAGAAAATACATTTTTACTTTGATAATCATTACTTTATACGTATCAAACAAACGCTCGCAAACGTGATCCGGGGTACATAAATACCCCGGTTTGGCGTTTGTATTGCAAACAAACGAAGCCTTATGGTCAAGTTGGAATGCTCGATCACGCCATCCACACCTTCAAGAAAATGGATGAAATGGCGACCAACCAAAAGTCTTCATATTAGAGTTGAAACCTGTTGGATCAAGAATTGCTAAACTTGGATCTGTTTTGTGAATAACATCTATAAAAATCGAAAATGGCAACACTTGCTAAAAACCTCTATTTTCCATGACCGCCGCTGCAACTCACAATAACGACAGTCTTTCTCTTTTCCTCTACCCCCTCTCTCTCTCTTCCTCTTCTTTTCTCTTTTTCTTCTCTGCTACCTCTCGTTTCTGTCACCTATGTTTTCTACAACAGCTGCTGCAACTAACAACAACGGTCTTCTCTTCCTCTCTCTCTCTCTCTCTTCCTCTTCTTTTTTCTTTTTTCTTCTCTGCTACCTCTTGTTCCTATCACCTATGTTTTCTACAACAACTGTTGCAACTAACAACAACGATCTTCTCTTCCCCTCTCTCTCTCTCTCTCTCTCTCTCAACAGTGGTGGCTTTAGATCTGTTTTCTAGAAATGGCTTCAGACCTCCCTACTATTTGGATTATGTCTTGTTTTACAATTGTTAGATTAATTTTGATCTAACGGTTGATGTGATCCCTCTTTAGGTTAAAGAGGTTTTACATATAAAAGCTTTCTTTTGTATGAGAAGGTGTGAGAGAAAAGGGAGAATGGGTTGTATTATTTCTCAGTTTTCTTTCATAGTGAAGAATACGTTTTGTCTCTCTTGTGGACATAGGTAGTAAGGCCGAACCATGTAAATCTTTGTGTTCTTTGTGGTGCTTGTTTTTATTTATCTTTGCTTGGATTTCATCATTTTTGTTGCTATTAGATTTTTCATGGTTGCTATTTCAAATACCTTGTGATTCTATATTGTGGTTGGTTGATGTGAGGCCCCAACAAAGTAGTATCAGAGCTCACAGGTTAGTGTTTACAAGGTGCTTGTAAAATTGCTTGAGAGATAATGGCAACAAAAGGTACGGGTTCTTAGTTCCAGATTGAGAGGTTTGATGGCAAAGGTAGTTTTACCCTATGACAAAGAAGGGTAAATGATGTCTTAGTTCAATAAGGCATGGCTAGAGTGTTTAAGGGAAATGATGGAAAGCCAGAAGACATGAAGGATGCTGATTGGGAGGACATCGAGTCAAAGTGTGTTAGTACAATTCAATTGCTCCTTGCTAATAACGTTATGGATGAAGATTTTGCACCGGAATTGTGGGATAAGCTAGAGAAGCTTTATTTAGGAAAAAACTTAACTACAAAGTTATATCTGAAGTGGCAATTATACGGGATGAAGATGGAAGAAGGTGGGAATCTCTTGGAACACCTAAATGTGTTCAACATTGTCTTGGATCAACTAGGGAAAGTTGATGTCATGGTGGAGGAAGAAGACAAGGCCCTTTTGCTTCTTACCTTACTTCCTAATTCGTATGAAAACTTGGTGACAACATTGTTGTACGGGAAAGATACAGTGAAGTTGGAAGAAGTTACCGCATCTCTTCTATCCAATGAGGTTATGAGGAAGCCCAAGTATGAGAGCGGCAAGACTCTGCATTGGTTATGCTGGGAACAGATTGAAAATGAAGGTCATCTGGTAGGGGGTTTAAGAGTAGCAGGTATAGATCTAAGGCTAGGGAAAAGGGCAAGATACAATGTTATAAATGCAAGGAATTTGGTCACATGAAGAGATATTGTCCTATACGGAAAATGTGTAGGGATGAATCCAGAAGTGTGGCAATTGCATCTGTGGATGACGGAGACGCTCTCACAGTCTCCGAAGGTATGTGCAATTTTTCTCAAAATGAGTGTTTTAGATTCTGGACGTTCTATGCATATTTGCTCTAGGAAGGATTATTTTGACACGTTCCAAGAGAGGAAGATATGTGTTGTTTCCTTGGGTGATGGATCTATATGTAACATCACAGGTATTGGGACAACGAAAATCAAAATGTCTGATTGAGAGGTTCACACTTTGGGTGGTGTGGTGTATGTCCCAAAAATGTGTAAGAATCTAATATCACTTAGTTGGTTAGACTCCAAGGGATGCAAGGTTTGTGCTGTAGGTGGAGCAATGAAAATCACATGTGGCGGTATGGCC